GTGGCGTGTAGGTAATTAAGGTGATTAAAGCGATACGAATTTGCATAACTAAGTGTATCCTAATGGATAGATAGGAATTATTTATAACGCAGGTGTATGGCTTAAAATCGGGCGCAAGGCTTTGCGGGCAAAAATCTACACAAGATATCAATTTTAAAATACATTTATTTCTTCAAAACGTTTTACAAAATTTAGTAAGGTTTAATTCTAAGAGTGTGCTTTGCAGGAAAATGTTTGCACAAGATTTCAGTTCTAAAATACATCTATTTCTTCAAAACATTTTACAACATTTAATAAAATCTACTTCTAGGAGCATAACATTTAGGTGTTTTTGTTATTTTTAAAGAGTTCTCATACTCTTGTCTGTCTTTAGAGGATAATCTTACAACATCTTCATCCTTCATTTGAATATATTTTGGCCTTGCGTTTAGTAAAAAAAGTTCATACCGCTTTCTTTCCTTCAGTTTCATCATAGCCAAGTAACTTCTTTCCAATCAGCAGAGTCTACCCAATTATGAAAAAAGTTGCGCTTGAGTTCTAGTCGTTCCTGTTCTGTTGGTGGTGGCGTAAGGAAATTAGGTTTAGGAATAGCAGGCACTGGTGGTGGTATTTCCGCTGGTACAGGTGTAGGAGGCACTTGTGGTGATATCTCAGCAGATACAGGAGTAGGAGACACCAGTGACGTTCTCTGAACAGAAACTTGAGCAGGCCAGGGACACCCATCTTATTTTTGAATGTGAGAAACCGATTTAGTTGATCAGAGTAAAGCTTGCTAGCTTTTTTCCACCACAGAAAGTTGTGGCGCTTCCATGATTTCTTTCATTGTTCTCTGTTTGGCATCATACATTGCATTTGCAAGTGGTGGTTGACGATACGACTGTTTCTGTAAAAACTTTGCAATCTCGCCGAGAAGTACGTTGGTCTTGAGTCGTTGTTGATCGTCTGCTGTTGGCTTTAAATCCAGCATCAAGTACCCATAAGGTCGGCTCGTAGCATCTTCATAACTCCTCATAAACTCTTGTACTTTCCCGGGATTTATTTGCCTTGCAAGCATAGAAATTTGCTGCTTATCTCTTGGTGACTTGAACAACACGATATAATGAGCATTAAGGCTGATATTTCTCATTTCTTAGCCCTGATGAAATATAAATTGGACAATATAGATGATAGACAAGCTTTCTTAAGAAAGCCATCATCGAAACTTCGTAAAAAGATCAGCAACACGTTTATCTTTGCCAGATAGAGCCATAAGTTCGTCCAATACGATAAAATTCCGTTGAGATGCGTCCAAGTAATTTGCGTTGTCGATGTCTTCGGGGATGCCTTGATTAAACTAAATTCCAGGCATCGTTCTCATCATATCAAAATAGGAGGGTTGCCACTGACCATAACACCAAATGATACGTTGAGGAGCAGGACTTATAGTCGTTTGAGCATTCTCCAACAGAGATTTCACACATACGGTTTTGCCGCTTTGTGTACACCCAGCTACGATGCACGTAAAAGGATGCTGCATAACACTGAACCTATTGCCGATTACAGTAAACCTTCTTTTATCTGTACTGATGCTATGCATCTGTGTTTTGTGACGTGAACGGTTACTAGGTGTTGAAAACGGTCTTCCACAGACCTCGCCGGGATAAGACATGTTTACAGGTTCACAATCAAATGTAAAATGAATTCGAAGTTTGTGTACCGTTACATAAATAGTATTATATGGTTAAACCAATATAAATAATTCTATGACATTGATATTCCAAGATACTGTATGATATCCTAAGATATTGAATGATATCCTAAGATACTGTATGATATCCTAAGATTCTGTATAATTTCCTAAGATACTGTATGATATCCTAAAATACTGTATGATATCCTAAGATATTGAATGATATCCTAAGATATTGAATGATATCCTAAGATATTGAATGATATCCTGAGATATTGTATGATATTCTAAGATATTGTACGATATCCTAAGATACTGATATCCTTAAAATATTGATATCCTAAGACATTGATATCCTAAGATATTGGAAGATAAAATCTATTTTCGTTAATATATAAATATGTTATTTCCAACTAAGTCTTCATTCCGTTGCTGACGTCGACTGCCGAACAGAGATGACTAGCAGTTATATCAAACGCACACCGTTTGTGGAGCTCTTGTGTATTTCTCATCAAATTCAACGGCAAGCTTTGTTGAATTCTGCATCTCATGAACAGATACGCTTTCTATGTAATTGCTTGGAAAACTTTACATATCCTAACGGAACATTGAACAAACTTGGACCATTTAAAGATGATCTCGCTGACCTAGCGGACAGAAGTAAGAGTTTTAGAACAAAAAAGAAAATTCTTGTTCAGCGCGGGAGTGGTTTTCTAGGATTGGTACTTGCGCCACTTTGAGAGGGCCTTGCAGAATTAGTATAAAATAATCATCATTAATTCACATCGTCATGCCAACCATGGAAAGAAAAAGAGATCATCTCCGAGACATTGGCGCGTTGAAGATATACTTGGACACTTAAATGATAATGTTGATAAAAACGTGGGTGAAGAACTTCTTCACTGCATTCTCACATCCACGGATATTCTCCCATGGAATCTTCAAGGGGAAATTGTATACAAAGGACAGAATATACGTGGAACAAATATTGTAGATCTTTTGCAATATACTCTTTTACCATATACTACTGAAATTCCAGAAACGGCTGGACTGAATATATTTCTTAAAGGTCTTGCAAAATTGGAGATTGTTAAAAGCCTAATCGTAAATGGACGTGTCCTTAAAAGGCTAGCCCACAAGCAGCCACTACATGATGCGGATACACAGTCTGATAAATCTGAAGAAAAGTCTGAAGATGTGGACACACCTTGTAACAGTTGTAACAAAGATTTACACATCTCCCACTTGGGTACATGCCATGTATGCGCATGGACAGGTTTTTATCCCAATTGTACAATGTGTTACTGTATGGTCTGTGATTTTCGACTGTCCGAAGGAATTTCACCCAGTACCGCCTAAAAGTCTTCAAACTTATAATCTGAGGTCTTATCCCAACTTATTAGTACCTAGGTGTAGAACTGAACGTTTTTCGAACAGTTTCATTCCTGCTGCGTCTCGTGCTTATAATAATAAGTAAACTGTAGATTATTATCGTTATTTTTATCTAACTTACCTATTTTTACCTGTAAATATAGAATAGATTAAATACCTATGTTCTTATACCCTGTAATTCCAAAGTAATTCAGTTGTTACTGCTAGTTTGGAAATTTATAATAATAATAATAATAATAATAAGGCATTTATAGTTAGATCTGCTGTTTAGTGTTCGATATAGAAGTATTGAAATAATATGATTACATGTACTGATCGTCTTATTTTATACAATATGCAAGAAGTCAAAGTATACTTGTTTGTGTGGCGATTTTGACAAGGCGATGAGTTTATAGTGTTCATTCTAAATATTTATTATAGTAATGTACGTCTATTAATCATTAACGCACGTATTACGATTAGTTTATATTTAGAATATGGACATTATATATTCAGTTGTTTACATGTAGCCGAGATATCAAGAAGTCTATTAAATATCAGAACATTATAATGGCGACGAAGATAAACGTATTCTATTAAACGAAACGATGGTGGAAGAGCAGGCAGAGCCTCAACCACTGCAGCAACAGGCTGTACAGATCATGCAATCTGTAACAATAACTCCAATGCCAGAATTTGGGCCAGATGCAAAAATTGGAACAAGCCTTTCGACAAGATGGAACAATTGGCAGTCAGACTTCGAAATGTATATAACCGCAAGTGGAATAACGGATCCAAAGCGAAAACGTGCACTCTTGCTATATCAAGCTGGACCGAGAGTTCGCGAGATTTTTAAACAAATCACCGAGACAGGAACTGATACGGACTACAATATCGCGAAGCAGAAATTAAAGGCTTACTTCGACCCTCAAAAGAATCGGCGGTACGAAGTTTATCGTTTTCGACAAACAACTCAAGAACACAATGAGACATTAGATCAGTTTCACACCAGACATAGAAAAATGTGACCAGAAACCTGTGAATTCGCAGACGTTGAATTTGAAATCGAATAACAAATCATTATAGGCGGAAATTCATCGAAAATAGGAAAGCGAGCACTGCGTGATCCTACATTTGACTTAAAATCAATGCTTTTAGAAGGACGTCGTGATGAACAGAGCAAGTACCAAGCTCAACAAATCGAATCTAAAGAACAAACTGACGGTGAGGCTAATAAATTAGAACAAAAACCTAGTAACGGTAGTATTTCGAACAATAGTAATGTTATTTGCAGAAATTGTGGGCGTGCTTATCCACACACTGGGGCATGTCCAGCGAAAGGCAAAACCTGTAACAATTGTGGAAAACCGAATCATTTCGCTGCTGTTTGTCGAGGAAAACAAAACCAACGCGATCACCGAGATAATCAAACAAAAAGCATGCATAAAGAAATTTAAAAACATTAGATTCAGGATCAAACTCGAGTTCCGATGAAGACTATTTATTATATACCATGACAAATACAAAGTACAATAACAAGGTCAATGTTACAGTAGGCGGTGCCAAATTTCAAACAACAATTGACAGTGGCGCGACAATAAATGTGATCGATCGTGACACTTTTAACAAAATGCAAGACATAAAATTAACTCGCACGAACACGAAAGCTTTCGCGTATATTCGAAGCGGTAATCGAAATACGAAAACGAATATCTGTAGCCACATTCTATGTCGTTAAAGCTGGGAACTGTGGAAACTTACTTTCTCTTTCTACTGCACAAGAACTCGGACTTATTAGTTTGCATCTAGACAAACTGACATCAAAGGATGCCGCACTAGAAAACATCCTTCAAAAGCATTTTAAAGTTAGTACTATTCTGTCATTTTTCGGACAGGTCTTTTCGAAAGAAGGCACTCATCCTGATCCTAGGAGAGTAGCTGATCTATTAAATGCACCCCTGCCAAATAATGCCCATGAAGCCAGGAGCTTTCTTGGCATGGCCAACTATAGTAGTAAGTACATTCGAGATTTCGCAACACTAACTGCTCCCCTTCGTGATCTGACGAAAAAGGATGTTCGTTTTGAGTGGACTCAAACACACCATACTGCTTTTGTCAAGCGTGGAAAAACACGCTTGCAATTGCTCCATGTATGTCATATTTCGACAAAAACAAACAAACTTTTGTGACAGTTGATGCTAGTCCTGTAGGAATTTCTGGAATTCTTTCTCAGAAAGCAAGAAACGGTGACGTAGACAGTCAACAGATAATTGCATATGCCAGCCGAGCGCTGACTGATACAGAAAAGAGATACTTCCGGACGGAAAAAGAAGCGTTAGCGATAGTATGGGCGGTTGAACATTTCCATTTATTTTTATTTGGAAGTGAATTTACACTAATTACTGACCATAAACCTTTAGAAATTATTTATGGTCAACGTACTGTACAGCCAAAACATCAGCACGAATTGAAAGATGGGTGCTTCGCCTCCAACTATATACATTTAAGATATTTTATAAATCAGGTGCCAGCAACCCTGTGGACTATCTTTCTCGCCATCCAACAAACGAAAGCAAACGAAAACAGGAGAAGATGACGGAACAATATATTAATTTTGTAACTCAGAACAGTGTCCCTAAGGCGATGACATTACAAGAAATAATCAATGCAACTAACGCAGACGCGGCACTAACAGCACTCCATGATGCAATTAAAACAAACAAATGGCATTCCCCAATTGTAAAACCGTTCAAAGCCGTAAAAAACGAACTTACCTCTACCACACACGGTGTTATACTTCGAGGAACACGGATTGTCATTCCTGCTGCTCTACAACAACGTGCAATAGATATAGCACATGAGACACACTTAGGAATAGAGAAAACTAAGTCTCTAATTCGTGAAAAAAATCTGGTTTCCGCCAATTGACAACCAAGTCAAAAACACAATTGCTAAGTGCACCCCTTGTCAAGCAGTCGGACAGGCGAATCCTCCAGAACCATTACGTATGACCGAAATGCCAGAGTTACCATGGAGAACTGTCCACATAGATTTTTATGGTCCACTACCATCGTCTGAATATCTTTTAGTGGCGGTAGATAGATACTCCAGATTCCCAGAGGTTGAGATCGTTCATTCAACACGAGCCTCAACAGTCATTCCAAAACTTGACAAAATGTTCTCAGTCCATGGCATTCCTGACACCATTATATCTGACAATGGTCCCCTTTTAACGGAGACGAATATGCACGATATCTGTAAGCCCTTGGTATTCAAGCTAAGTTTTCAACACCCTACTGGCCCCAAGGTAATGCTACAGTTGAACGATTTATGCGACCGTTAGGAAAAGCGCTCAAGATAGCGACACTCGAAGGACGACCATGGAAACAAGAATTGAACCGTTTTCTTTTACAATATCGTACCACTCCACATTGCACTACAGGAGTACCTCCATCAGAACTGTTGTTTAACCGAGTGATAAAAGGAAAATTACCAGTTATAAACAGCAAGAAGATTGTCAATCGACATAAAGAAGCTCGAGACAATGAGAAAACACGACAAGAACGCAACCGAGAATATGCAAATCAAACACAAGAAAAAGTGATCTACAAGTTGGAGATTATGTACTGGTTAGACAAGAAAAGAAAAACAAGCTAACTGCGAATTTTAATCACAAACCGTATATATAAAGTGATAAAGAAAACTGGTACAGAGATACTTGCCAAAGTAAAGATGGTCACATTGTGAAACGGAACGTGTCACATTTCAAGCGAATAAATAAACCACGAGAAGAAGACACTGATGATGAAGGTTTCGATTATGAAGAAAACTCGCAGGACAATCAGCCATCCATCAGTAATGAAAACAGCGAAGTACCAAGAAGATCAAGCCGAATTCGAAGACCACCGAATCGATACGGACATGAATATCCATCAAATCTAATAAACTAACATGACAATGAAATAGCTAAATAACTTCAAATTTAATTAAACACTTTGATATTTGACAATCAAGTTAAAACAAAGGGAATGGTATAGTAATGTACGTCTATTAATCATTAACGCACGTATTACGATTAATTAGTTTATATTTAGAATATGGACATTATATATTCAGTTGTTTACATGTAGCCGAGATATCAAGAAGTCTATTAAATATCAGAACATTATATTTATAGCAATGTGCTTTCAGCACGCTTTAAAAACAAACGCGGAATGTTGTGTATGCACGTCTTAATAATCGGGCTTAATAAGATTCCTATAGAAATTAGCAACCCATTGTGGATTGTATTTACGACTTTTGTACAAGGTCTGTTTATATCTCTGAGACTATATGTTCATTGTTAGCATAATATGAAATAATCCTACCGGGCTACAATTGTCACTATTCAGGGTATACAATATTTTTCGATAATGCTCACAATTTCGTTCTTGTTAATAATATAGTTTTGCTGTTCTTATTGAGTACAATCTATTACATTACAATGAATGGTGTCATCTGAAGCGGGCTTATTAAACAAAAATGTCAACAAATAGCAGATTGTTCAGTTGTTATGCGATAGGGGTAGCTTTGAAGGTGCCATTAAAACGATAACTGAGAGAAAAAATAACTTAGTATTTCTATATATGATATTCTGCAGTATTCAGCGGCAAGGTAGCCATGGCAACTGGTCATGATATACTAACAAACTTGAATTTATTTCAATATTGCAAATCATTAAAAACTTGCATACATGTAGCATGACCTATCGCTATGGCTAGTTTCGCCATTGCCTCATCATGCAGGCTACTGTAGCTTTGCCATTGACAGTATTATAATTGTACGTGTGAGAGCAAGAAATTATGAGCATTGAAGTATAAAACCGCCCATGCCAAGAAAGTAGAATTAGAATATTTAGCTGACGTTCGACTTTGTGCAAGATGTTTCATATTCAAATTGCACTTTAATTTCCTACCTCCTGAACAGGTGTCTTAGGGGCTGTTTACATGATGGAAGATTTACATGATGGATGATTTTGATGTATTGAAATAAGTCGCTAGGCTAAACAAAAGTTCAAATACTGGTAAAAAGATCTTGTAGTTCAAGAAGATTGTTATTGCTGCTTGAACAACCCTTCGTTTACAGTTAACTATAGTCTATCTCTAGAAAATAATGTGTTTTTTTTGCACAATCGTGCACTGTGACTTATTTCAATACATTAAAATGATTCTGCCTCACATCTGATCTCGTACTGCCAAAGTGGGATGATATAAACAGCACCTTATCACAGAATAAAGACACACAGAAGGTCAACTCGGCCAAAAAGGCGTAACCGCTGTTACACCATGATTCATCATCCTAGCCAGTGCGCTTATGAGAGGCATTGTAGTATTTGTAAGATGCGATAAGTTAATAATTAACTTCGAAGCATGTAACAACGTTGATTGACATTTGTAATAAATCATCATTCAATCTATTCTATAATGGCGACGAGGATGTAAAAATAAACAGCGTGAAAAATATAACGGAAAACTAGAATGGCGGCACAAAACATACAGCCTATGCCTGCTTTTGAACCAAGGAGTGATCCTACAAGTACAAGTGCGAGATGGACACGATGGCTGGAGAGATTCAACACATATTTACTTGCAGCAGATATTAAAGACGATGCGAGAAAGCGAGCTTTATTATTGTATCAGGCGGGGCCCGAAGTACACGAAATTTTCAAGAATCTAGAAGAGGGCGAAACCAAAGATTTTAAGTCAGCAGTGAAAGCGTTGACGGAGTATTTTGAACCAGAGAAAAACGTGACATATCGCACCTATGTTTTTAGACAAGCGACGCAAGGCAAAGAGGAATCAATCGACGAATTTCATCCACGTTTACGAGGCTTGGCAAAGTACTGCGAATTTACAAACATAGATTTTGAAATAAAGATGCAGATTGTTACGAACGGCACTTCTTCAAGATTACGAAAGAAAGCACTACAAGACCCAAAATATAGTTTGGCAAACATGTTAATCAATGGACAAAAATACGAAACTAGTTCAGCTCAAGCCGTTGGGATCGAAGAACAATTCAAAACAAGGGAAAATATAAATGCAATGGCTATGACAACGCCCACTGAGAAAAAGTGTTATTACTGCGGTTTCAAGTATCCACACGACAATCAACCGTGCCCAGCGAAGTCTGCTATTTGTAACCACTGCGGAATAAAGGAACACTTCGCTAAAGTCTGTCGAACACGAGGAAAATATTTCGCAAGTAAGGGAAACCTTGAGAAATTACAAACGCAAGATTTTACCTCCCCAGACAAAAGGTACCAATCACGATGGGATGAGAATAAACAACGAAAACAACAAGTTAAGGCTGTCGGAATATCACAAAGCGAACCAAATACTGAAAGCTCGGAAGAAGAGGATTATGTTTACACAGTATCGCAAGAAACGAGGGAGAAAACACACGCGACCGTAAAAATAAATGGACAGGACGTTTTATTTTTGGTTGACACTGGCGCGACTGTTGACATCATTGATTCTACGACATACGCGAAATTAAAGAGGAAAAGTTCATTACGTAAAAGTTCAACTAAAATCTACGCATATGGATTTCACACACCTCTGCCTCTAAACGGACAATTTCAAGCAACACTCGAATCGAAAAAGCGTTATACCGTGTCGCAAATATATGTAATAGACGGTGCAGGAGGAAATTTGCTAAGTGCTAAAACAGCCCAAGATTTGGCCTTGGTCCAGCTAATTAATACAATTTCCGGTTTTCCTGAACAAGATAAACAAACAAAGACAAATCAAAACAATACACACAGCACTGCATGCGAGACCAATCCAGAAATCAACACAAGTGTTCCTCAATCAAAAGACCCCAAAATACAAGAAACCATAAACAAATATAGTACAGTTTTCAAGGGGCAAGGAAAATTAAACAATCAACAAATTAAACTTCATATCCGAGACGATGTCAAACCAGTTATGCAGCGTCAAAGACGTATACCATATCATGTGAGAAAGGATGTTTCGAAGGAACTAAAGAAACGAGAAGAGCAAGACATTGTCGAGAAAGTCGCCAATCAACCAACACCATGGATATCTCCAATAGTCGTCACGCCAAAGAAAGACGGAGGTATTAGACTCTGTGTAGACATGAGGGAAGCAAATCAGGCAATCGAAAGAGAGAGACACACAATGCCAACTTTACAAGATTTTAAAGCTGAGGTAAATGGAGCAAAGTTCTTCTCAAAGATTGACCTAAAGCAAGCATATCACCAGCTCGAATTACACCCGGACAGTCGATTCATTACAACGTTTTCTACCCATGAAGGACTGTTCCAGTATAAAAGATTAAATTACGGTACGAACAGTGCAGCCGAGATATTCCAAAATGTGCTACAACAAAACCTTAGCGATATCAGAGGAGTGAAAAACCTGGTGGATGATATTATTATTCATGGTAAAACCCGAAAGTCACACGATGAAGCACTAGAGAACTGTCTAAAACGGCTAGCAGCACTAAACTTGAAAGTGAAAGGGGAAAAATGTGAATTTCTACAAGACGAAATTGCATTCTTCCGATTAAAATTTACAGCAGCAGGAACCAAACCAGATCCAGAGAGAATTGAGAACATGGTTAGAGTACCAGCTCCCAAAACTGCTGGAGAAGTTAGAAGTTTTCTGGGAATGTCCAACACTTGCCACGAATACATTCCAGATTATGAAACTATTACAGCACCTCTAAGAAAACTAACCAAGAAAAACATTGCGCTTAAGTGTGAAAATAGACATCAGAAAGCATTTGAGCAGTTTGAAAAAGAAACTAACAAGTACCCCAGTTATGGCATATTTCGATACAAAGAAACGAAGTCTAGTAATCGTAGATGGCTCCCCTTATGGAATTAGTGCAATACTAGCACAGAAAGAACATCACAGCCAGCAGTACAAAATCCTTTCATATCCAAGCAGAGCACTCAGCCCAGTTGAGACAAGATACTCACAAACAGATATTGAAGGACTTAGCTTAGTATGGGGAATTGAGCATTTTCGAGTGTTCTTGATTGGATCAGAATTCGATGTGATAACTGATCATAAAGCATTAGAATCTATATTCAATAACCCAAGATCCAGACCACCAGCCCGCATCGAGAGATGGATGATGCGATTACAACCATTTAACTTCAAAGTCATTTACCGCAAAGGATCCTTAAACGAAGCTGACTACTTAAGTAGACATCCAGCTGTTATAGAGAGAGAACAAATAACGAGTACATCAGCAGAAGAATATGTGAACTATGTAACTAACTGTTCAGTTCCAAAGTCAATGACACTTGACGAGATTAAAAAAGCAACCCATAACGATCCAGTATTACAAAAAGTTAAGAAATGTCTGAAAGAGGGAAAATGGGATGAGAACGATCCTGATCTTAAACCGTTTAGACTTTGCGCCGACGAACTTACGTACAATGCATCAGCAGATGTACTGTTGAAGAACACACGGCTGGTCATTCCAACAACATTACAAGAAAGAGCAACAAAATTAGGTCATATCGGGCATCAGGGAATTGAGAAAACGAAAAGCCTACTACGCGAAAAGATCTGGTACCCAAATATGGACAAACGAGTGAAAGAAATGGTAGACAAATGCATTCCTTGCCAAGCAGTAGGTCACGGTAATAACCCGGAGCCAATGAAAATAACTCCAACCGAAGACAAACCATGGACTAGTGTAGCAATCGACTTCTATGGTCCAGTACCCCGAACTGGTCAATACCTGCTAGTGGTTATCGATACCTACTCAAAATTCCCAGAGGTAGAAATAGTCAACTCAACCGAAGCAAAAACATGCATACCAAAATTAGATACGATATTTGCCAGATATGGAATACCATCAAAAATAAAAACTGACAATGGACCCCCATTTAATGGGAAAGAATTTGAAACATACACTAAAACCCTTGGTATTGAATGGAAAACAATTACACCACTATGGCCTCAGGGTAATGCCGTCGTAGAAAGATTTATGAAACCAATCGGAAAACCAATCTCAAAAACTGCAAAGGTTTCTACTTCAATACCGTTCAACTCCTCATCAAACTACTAAAGTCGCTCCGTGTGAACTACTTTTTAACAGACAAATTCGGGGATATTTACCAGAACTCACAAGGAAAAGAGTAGTTAATAGACACAAGAGGGCGAAGCAGAACTTGGAGCAGAAGAAAGAAGAGAACAAAGAGTACTACGACCGAAACAAAAGAACAAAGGAAGCTGGGATAAAAAAGGGTGACATCGTCATTTGCAAACAGAAGAAGAACAACAAGTTAACATCAAAGTTTGACCCAGAACATTATACGGTAGTATAACGTAAGTACAACACCATCATAGCTAAAAGAGATGGTAAGACGGTGACAAGAAACGTTTCACACTTTAAGAAGGTAGTAATGGAGGAAAGCGAGGAGGAGCAGGAAGATACAGCACCAGGAAGATACAGCACCGGGAAGACCGACGGAAACAGAGGAACCACCAAAGCAAGAACCAAGTGTAAGGAGATCAACAAGAATGAAAAGACCGGTAATACGATATCAGTACCAGACTTGATGTTATAAACCGTAAAACGATATAAACGTTTAAACTAGAGAAACATCAGACAACATTGATTTACATAAGTATGAACACAAGGCAAGGACATTTTATTAAGTGGTTAACATTCAGTTAAAAAAAATAGAGGGAGAGTAATGTAGTATTTGTAGGATGCGATAAGTTAATAATTAACTTCGAAGCATGTAACAACGTTGATTGACATTTGTAATAAATCATCATTCAATCTATTCTATAGGCATCTCCCCTGGACGTCTGCCATTTTGAATATTACCGGGGAGTGAATGCCTCTCGTAAGCGCACTGGCTGCATGGCGTCAGCATTTTGATGACGAATTATGGTTACGCCAAAATCATAGGAAAAACCAAGAAGTCCGGCCTCTGTTAGTCTCTATTCTGTGCCCTTATTTAGCAAATTGCATGCACATGCTGCCTTTGATTCCTTGGGAGTGAGGCAGCACTCTTGCGATAGTAACTTCTAGTAATAAAATAGTCAGGGATCGCTTGCCATATTAGTACATCATATTCCAATACGGGTCTGATAGTAGTTACATATGTACACTTTTAGTATTCCTTTGCTCAACGCACGAAGGACGCGTAGGGAATATAGCTTCTTACAAGCTTTGTTGTAGATATAATGAGCACGTTTATTCCACTTAAGATCCTCTCTCATTTGAACTCCAAGTAATTTATAATTGGTTACCCTTTCTACTACGTTGCTGCCAATTACAAAGTGCCTCATTATAGATTTGTTATTATTCATAAAATTGGTCATCATCTCCTTGCATTTAAGTGGGTCGAGACTCTTTTAAGAGAATTGATGTATTCATCTACCTTATTGCTCAGATAACTGATTGAGTTCCTGGGAATGATCTCTAGCGCAGCTGTGTCATCGACAAACTTTGTCTTTAAATGCCAATCAGATATTAGCTTATTTGTCATAACCGGGTATGGAGGACCCTACAGCAACGAACTTGTCGTTGAGCAAATTTGCTAGATCGGCATCAGAGTAGGATTTACCTTGGAACATCATTGTAGATACATTCTTAGAAGACTGAAGACCGGCAATATTCTTCACCGCTGACCACCATTTACTAGAATCGGACTGTTGAACGCCCGCGATACTTTTATTGTAGTAATTTAGTCGTGCTTTTTTGCAAAGTGCATTGACTTTGTTTCGATAGAATCTGAACATCAGGTTATTGCCAGCCGCCCATGCTGTTTGCCGCTTGGAAATAAGAGATTTTATTTCGGAAGTAATCCAAGGCTTGTCACTAGAATAAATTTTGATTTGTTTCCAAGGCAAATGTTCGTTTATGATATTATCAACGATGGTGGAAAAATACTGGAACTGCTCGTCACAAGATTCCATATGGTGCAAAGGTAACCAATTAACTTTCGACAGATGATCGCTAACAATTCGACGATTGGTTGGGCGAGAGTCTCGTACTAAACGTGTAGACCTTGTGCCACCATAAGAGTTAGCTGGAAGAGGTTTAAGAACGATGGAATTATGATCGGAATGTCCAATTGGAGAAATTACCAGGGCAGAATTATAAAATTTAGAAATGTTGGTAAATATTTTATCTAAAATATTCTTTCCTCTAGTAGCGTCTTTGACTAACTGCTTGAGGTTAAAGGAACTGCATAACTGGCGATGTTTAAATTGGTTAAAATCTCCGGCCAAAATAATTCCTGCACCGGGATTGGTGGAAAGGACAGAATCGATTGATTCGGTAAGGTGTGAAAGAAGGGCTTTATCGTCACTTCCATGCAGGTGGATGGTACACGATTCCCAATACAATTGAATTTAAACCACGAGGCAAGCGGTGAGGTTTTAAAAGTAACCAAAGCGACTCATATTCGTGACTTTCAATCTCTTTAAGATGAATGAACGGAAGCATGTCCTTCACAAAGACACAGACTCCACCTCCTCGTCTGCCGTCGGAACGATCATGCCTCAGTAAGGAATAACCGCATAAATCTATTGCTGAATTAGGAACATTTGAAGAAAGCCACGTTTCGGTAACAACGACAATGTCTGATGTATAGGATTTTACTGTAGCAGACAGTTCGTCAATCTTGCTGATCAGCGATCTTGAATTAGAAACAAATAAATTCGGTAGAGAAGAGAGTAAGGGCGGTTTTTTGGTTTGGTGGCCACTAATATAAATTAAGTTATTTCTACGGTTGAAACTTTTCCCTGGTACTGGAACCGATTGATGCTGTAGTGTTCTTAATTGACTAGGTTTCGCATTTATTTTTCTTTGAAAGTTTGATACGCGATGGGTTATTCTCACAGGAATTTTTTGAACAAGAAGTTCAACGGGAATCGAACTGTAATTTTCATGCGATTCTCTCTCATTTTTAGAAACAAATAAATTCGGTAGAGAAGAGAGTAAGGGCGTTTTTTTGGTTTGGTGGCCACTAATATAAATTAAGTTATTTCTACGGTTGAAACTTTTCCCTGGTACTGGAACCGATTGATGCTGTAGTGTTCTTAATTGACTAGGTTTTGCATTTATTTTTTTTCTTTGAAAGTTTGATACGCGATGGGTTATTCTCACAGGAATTTTTTGAAGCAGAAGTTCAACGGGAATCGAACTGTAATTTTCATGCGATTCTCTCTCATTTTCTTTAGAATTTACTTTGCCGTCAGCCGGCGAACAAGATTTAAATGCGCCGACCATTCCGCTCTTCGAACATGAGGCAAGGGCGGGGGACGCTCCGGAAAGCTCTGCCGAAAAGGACAGTTATTAGTATTGTCACACTCAGACATGCATTCGTCGCCGTCTAAGACAATAAATTCAGAGATATCAGCTGGTATTTGGCCAATGCACACATGCTGAGTAACTGTCTCAGTGCTAGTTGTACTATCATTCAATATATTTGATGGGTTTTCTAAAAAGGGTTCCTTCTTCTGAGTTATAAATGGCTTGGATATTTCGATAAGAGGCAAGTTTCCAAGCGATTTCAGCGAAAATGGCTCACAGTAAGGGGGAGAATTAAGATTGCGTCGAGAGTAACTTCGCGAGACCTTAGCTTTACTGATTTTGTCGTTATTCATATTATGCTCCGTTAACTTCACTTTGTTAATTTCACATTTGTTGTCGAGTTTATTGTCGGTTCTATTACAACTTGCTGGTTGGACAATTAAACATGAATTATCAAGGGGCTTTCAACGCTGACAGTTTCGGGAATAAATGGTTCACCTGGTAAACAAATTCCTAGGTTTGAATTTGCAGTTTCTATCGATTTTACAGTGTCTATGATGCAGTTATAAGTACTAATTTGTTCAGGTTGGTTTGACAGGCTTTGTTCGGCACTCAATACACCATTGAATTTTTCTGAATTAATTTGCATTAGCGATTGTCTTAGAGATTCATTTATGACATCGCTTGATTTAAGTTTGTTTTCGAGAAAGGTAATGGTATTTTTTAATTCGTTTATCTCCCTATTCCTTCCTCGAACCAAAATAGATATATCAGCCTCCAACTGACTACATTTCTCCTTTTCCTTAAGAAGCTCGTGTTTAAGTTCACTTATTTGTTCACTATCACTATCCCGTGAATTGAAAGCTGCAAGGAACTTAGTTTCTATGTCCCTGCACATGATTGCTATATCGAGCTAACTCCCTCCAAATCAGCAGCTAAAATTTTACACTGACAGCCAAGTTTGAAATCATGCTCTATACTGACCTTTTGATGATTATCAGTTTGTTCAAAGTCCTTAATACAGTGATTAGACATCTGTTCGGGTTCATCAACAGCTGGGTTTATAGTTGCAATCGAACTATGTATGGCCGACACACATACATTGTTTGATAAACCGTCGTCTTCAGAGATTGCCTCCGCGTACACATTTATTAACGCGTCAACCAAACCCGAGCTTTCCTCACCGTGAAATACAAGTGTATTTAGTTTCTTGGGGTACCAAGTTATTGATATATCTAGATTATAGCACGTAAACTTTTTCGAACAACCGCCTGGCGAAGACCATTTGCCATCCAATTTAAGATCGCATTCGACAAATTTCTTCAATATATCAAAAGTTCCAATCCATTTAATTCGTTTACTATCATAACTTAAGTTGGAAGAAGCTATATGATTACAAATTTCTTTAGCGTTCCATATTTTCGGGATATTTTGATGGAATTTTGTAGAGCTCACAAAATTAGAACTGTCCGTGCTTCATGAATATCACCAGAAAGAAACAAAGCCATCCTTACCTGAATTATTCAAAACATATTTGTCGATGAAAATCCAACATACTCGTAACTGAAATCCTAAAGTTTCAAATTGTTCACCTCCCACTCAAAATTTACAACCATCTTTTGAGTATTTTGACAGTACATAACTCGGGCCAATGACTGGGGCGAGTGAATGCAGAGTGTCAAGAATAGGAGGCTGCCTTCGGCAGCAAAAAGGCTAGAATCAATACAGAGAGTGGCACGTATAGAATCATTTTCCCTTCCATAGACAGTTATGATGAGGCGACGATGATGGCACAGATACCAACATTGAAGAGTAGACGTGAACAGCTATGTAAAAAATATATGATCCAATGAAGAAGGAAAATCATCCCCTGCCCTTTATGCTCCCAAAACCTAAGATAGCGAATGCAGGTATAGCCTACGAAGTGGGTAAAACAACACTATTTTGTTTGAGAACACAATTAAATGCAGAACTTTAAGATCAGAACAATTTTTTTACCTGCTGCGGAGCAAGCGAGCGAGCGAAACAGCAATCTAATTTGTGCAGAGAGGCGTCTGTTCATGCAGTACATTTTTCTAGCGCGTTGCATTGTGGTCGCGCTCAGCGGTTGTTCGCAGTACACATTCACCCGAATCCATGTGCTTTCATTCACTATACTACAGACTAGTAGATTAGTTTTGGTTTCTTAGTTTAATATATTGTGTATATAATGTGGTAAATGAGCCTATAGCGAAAACTTGTGTTATATAATTTACCTGTACGCGTACTAAAGCAGCGCGTAATTCAACTGATTCCAGTTGCCGGCACTTGGTCTTGGAAATATTACATATTTATGCTGTATCTCGTAAGAATGCTTTGTCGTTTGTATTTATACGCGACTTGGTCTTGAAAAGATATATTCTTGCATATGCTTTAGTGAATATTACTTCCATAAACATTAACATTAACATTAACGTTAACATTAACATTAACATTAACATTAACATTAACATTAACATTAACATTAACATTAACATTAACATTAACATTAACATTAACATTAACATTAACATTAACATTAACATTAACATTAATATTAACATTAACATTAACATTAACATTAACAGGCGCAACTATTCAATGAGACACACATGTTTAATATATCTGTCATCTGTGATAGCCCTTTGGCAACAAATGCATCGCTTTTTCTGTTACACTCATGGCATGAATTGATTCCGTATCCTTACGCTTCGGCCACAGTGCTCACCAGTTCTTGGTTCGCTGCGAGTAATAACTGTGCTTTATATAATTTGAACTATATTTAGTTCTATTTGCTCTTAATGCCCGCAGCAATCCCGACCTTGCAGGTATCCTAGTACATAGTTTTAACAGTTAAATGTACTCATTCATTTTTGTAAAAATAGTTTTAGTAATATTTTAGACTCATTAATTCAGTGTAAATACTGCAAGAGAGTTTCAATGAACCAGCAACAAATTATTATTACTTGTACTGTCATTACTTTCAGGGCTGTCAAACCTCTGAACACCCGTGCAAGAGTTCAGTAGCCTGCGTAGCAGGCGTTTCGTGCGGGCGGGAGAAGAGAGGGCGTCGTCGAGGAAACGCCTACCCAAATGGCTATGATTAATTTTGATGACTAAAGGCCATTTTCCACCAGGCGGAATTTCTCTTTGTCTTTTCTAATTAGTTCCACCCGAGAAATCACAAGACAAAGAAAAATTCCGCTCCTCGAGGAAAATTCCGCCTAGTGGTAAATCTTAATGTGTTTTTGACCGAAAACACTTCGTCAATTTCGCTGACGGAAGTAATTACGTAACTCAAATGTCAACAATAATTTTGCCCGCGTATATATTCTCATAAAAATATGGCTGTTAATGCTTTGGAGGAAACTCTTTTTGATATTTCAAGCTAGTCTTTTATGTTTCGAAATTCAGTTGAAACCAGAACAGAGAAAGTCTATTATTAATTTGCTACGTGGTGAAGACGTTATCGCGATTGTACCCACGCTACGGGGTACGGAAAAAATTTGATCTTTCAATTATACATTATCGCCAAATCAAAGCTTGCTACATGCCAGCACGAGCAGGGATCGAATATTTTTTTATAGTTGCGGTCTTGTCATTTACATCCTGAAAATTTTATTGAAGGCCAGATAGCTGAGGCTACATCAATTGGCATTGCAGCAATGAAGTTCGAGGATGATTTTAAGAATAACACTTCAAAACATGCTACGGCAGAATACGTTAAAAAACCGTGGTTCAGGAGCCTTTTAAAAGGTAAAGCGGCTCTGTGTTGTCTAAAATAGCATGAAATTTCCCTATTTGCCGAGCAAAGAAAAACATGCCTGATGCTAAATAAAATTGTCGACTATAATTGGATAATGGGTGAACCGGTGAAGGTGCGAATTACAAAACGTCGATCAGCCTTAATGGGCGAAAACACATTAGTCATAGCCTTTTGGGCAGGCGTTTCCTCGACGACGCCCTCTTTTCTCCCGCCCGCACTAAACGCTTGCTACGCAGGCTACGCAGGCTAGAGTTCAGTTCTGAAAGAACTAGGGTGTTCATTAGCTTGAACAGCCTCTAAGACAAAGAACAACAGCACACTTGCATTTGACAGTATAGCGCTAGCCATGTTAGATTGTTCTGAATTTTTCCGCTGTGACTATTAAGAACAGAATTCCCCATCACGTCTTGTAACATCATGAAATATAAGGTATATTGACTTTCCATTAATTAATTTCACTGCTTCGGATCAGGAAACCAAAGGTGGGTTGACTACAAATTTTTTTTAGTTTGCTATATTCTTGACGTGCAATGATGTGGGCGACGGCCATGTTGGTCCCTTTTCAGCAAAAGAATCTCATTAACTTCCTTTGAATTTGAGACCAACATGGCCGCCGTGCCATATTGTATTCTAATTCTCAAGGGATTGATTGCAAGTCAAGAATAACTGCAGTTTACTTCAAAAATATGTAGTTAGCTACAACTACTGCTACTTTCGAACAAAGGTAGTTCGCTACTGACTACAGCTACTACTTAATTTAATTTTAAAAATATATCATGCTATTCTATCAAGGTGCTAACAATTTTAAAAAGTGGCGAAAAGCGATTCGCAATTTGAAAAGTAGTCAAATACCTAGCTACTTTAGGTTAAATGTAGTTCGCTATAACCATACAGCTACTGTTTTAAAAAAGTAGTCAAAAACTACTGGCTAGTAATCTCGATAATAAACGATCAAAGAATTCCTAGTTTGCACTTGACGTCATGGCGAGATTATATTAGAAGCTATTGAATTTGGAATCAAACATGGCCGCTACTGTATATCTTTGTCTTATAAATCTCAAGTGATTGATAGCGACCCACCAATAATTGCGGATACGAATACAATCTCCCCCCCCCAAAAAAAAAATCACCATCCCCAAAAAAACACAACGAAAACATCTAAATAATTGTGTATTCATTGCAATGATCAACTTATCTATAACGTAGGCATCTCACTCGCTTGAATAATACATTAATAGTTTTGGGTATATGGAAATAATCAAGTGGAAATTTATATACATTTATTAGACCTAACGAGCTAGAAACAGCAGCGAAAAATGCAATTTTAGGTCCCTGGCAGGAATTAAACCAATGGTCATGCGATTCCGGCGTAGCGCTCTAACAAACTGAGCAACAGAGGCTAGTTGTCGAGCTCTAACCACAAGTTCATGTATACTGTATACACTAAGGTACGTCGTACTGCCATATGCATATAGATTATGAGTAAATATTAATATTTTGCGGTTGGCATCTCACTCGCTTGAAAAATAGTTGAAGAGTCTTCTAGATGGAAATTATCAAGTGGAAATTTATATACTTTGAGTTAATTTAAATTTTTAGATTATACAAGTTGCCAATGGGTAGGCTACGTTTTTTAATTTTCAGGTAACACATTTTGGCAAATAGTGCGAAAAAAATTTTCCCAAACGCGTATATAGGTATCCTAAAATGGTACATCATTAGTCAACCGCCTATTAATGACTATAAATCAAGCTTGTAGTTTTTGGGGTGCCTTGGTTTTGGGGGTACATACCTGTAGTTCACTTGTACTCCCCCATGCACCCACCTACCTCAGATAAGGTCGATCGTGGCGGTCCTTTTTTAACGGCTAAAAATGCTCAAAATTTGTGGTATTTCATGTCTTTGAATATTAAACTGTTTTTTTCACTAGTACATGTATTTCGCATAAACAATGCACTACTATTAAAAGATAAGTCTATAATCTATAATGTTTTTTATTTGTAGTTCTATCATTATTTGAACATATTTACTTTTGAATATTTGATGTGCTGTTTAATAAACGAGCAGGAGTGTTTTATTAGGTTTAAAGCCACTGCACGTGACATATTATGGTTGACATGATTTGCCAATAAGCATATGAACTATTAATGAGTGTTTGAATTAATAATACAAAAGCTGTACTGCAATAATATAAACTTAGGACAATTATAGTCAAATTGCCACGAGATAATTGGTCGACAAGTAGATGTAAAAACCCACCCACTCACTCATAACGTCAATTTTACGGTTTAACCCATAGAGTCGCATTGCAACCTAATGCGCCCTACTTTATTGTTTTTCTCTGCCTAATGTCAGACGATTTCACTCATCAAGAGGAGAGCACTGGCACTTAATGGTTAACTGGCCTATCTGCTCAGGTGTCTAGTTAATTTAACCCATTGAGTCGCATTGCGCCCTCATGCGCCATACTTTATTATTTTACTCTGTCTAATGCCAGACGATTTTACTCTTCAAGGGGAGAGGCATTTAATGGTTAATTAACATACCGAAACACGTTCCTACTTCCATGAATTTCTTGCTTGCATTACGATATATTTAACCGCGGTTCGTTTTCAAACGCCGATGCTGAACGATTTGGTGACCAAAATCAGCGTGTCACAGCATCTTTTTGTAGCGTATGTATTTGTTTGAGACTGTATATATAGCTAGAAGTTTATTGCGTGACTTGGGTGTCGTGACAAATAGAATTCGTCTGAATGTTTGAAATAGATTTTTATTCGCTGTTGAATTGAATTTGTCCTTTAGTAATATTAACTCAGTGGTTTTTGTTCTGATTTAAAATGCATTCACATGTTTGTGGAATACAAAACAATATATAAATACAAAACAATATACATAGAAAACATTTTCAAAATTTGTTTAGGGGTCACACGTCCATATTCATATTGCCACGCATAACGTCGAATCGACGTTTTCACAAGTACCCACCCACCCAATATAGATAACGTCGATCAATCAATTTATCTCAGCAATGCATTAAAATGCTGAGGCTTCAATTCAAAATTATTGACTATTGTACTTGCCTTCATTGGGGCAAACTAATGTAGGATCTTTATTGTAAAATATGAGAAGTTTTATAGGATATGCTTTATTACTATTTTCATACTGAACTATTCTTCTCGCAGAAAAATGGCACGATTCGCGAACACAAATTGACGGGTATTTGACACGAAAAAAATGTTGCTTCACTGAATACTTCAAGTCTTTGACCTCTATTATTTGAAAATACAGCAAGCTGTTCCATTTACTGTTCGGAGTACTCCGGATTTTCGGAACAGAAGACAGTCACATATCGACGTAGACAGTCACGATTCGACGTTACTCCTACGTGGCAACATGAATATGGACGTAGACACTGTAGTTGTTATTCCTTTGAGTAGCTGTCCCCTTACACTCCACTAGACTGCATATGGCATGCTCATTTTCTTTGTTCGATATATTAAATGTTCAATATGTGTGCGGTTCAACGAGTAGGAATTACAGGGGAAAATATCGATCATTAATAAAATAAAATATCGAGTACAATACTAGACTAAATGCTAAATCAACTTACTACTAAGTATTTTGCCAATGCATGCTAAATTACATTGACATTGTAAATATGCGCACGCGATTAAACAAACAAAAATGAAGCAAATGTCTTACTTGGGTCCGTTCTTGTCCCTCAAACAATAGTCGCTTCGGATTGAGGTATATATCCTTTAATTGGTAGATTGCATTGTTCGTAATCATTAGAACACGCGCCCGGACTAAGTGTGTAATTTTCGCCAGCAATGTGATATGGGATGGGTCAACGCTTCATTTGCTATGATTGGCTAATGACTGCCGTTTGCGTGGCAACAGAAGTAGTTTCCTGTTTCACATAAGCTTGTCGTCGCGAACATTTTGCCCTTCGGTCAAATGAACTCTCGTGATTATTCAACTAAATTGACTGTAGGTATTTGCGTGAGGCGACTTACGTAAACATTTTGCCATTGGCTTAAACTGACTGTTGTTATTATTATTTCACTAAATGGTCAAAGGGCCGTATTTCCGTGAGACGCATTTTGCCCTTCGCTGTAGCTGACTGTTGTTATTATTATGAAAATGAAAGGGCTGTATTTGCATGAGACGACGCATTTTGCCCTTCGCTCAAACTAACTGTTGTTATCGGGATTATTATAAGTAATAGCACGGCATTCAGGGCGATTAGTGATTAAATGTACCCGAAAGCCGAGAGTGGTTTAGTAAGGTTTAGTAAGGTTTTACTAAACCTCTCGAGGCTTGAGGGACATTTCATCACTAATCGACCGTAATGCCATGCTATTACTTTGTAATATCATAGTTAACGAGGGAATCGCGCGTGGTGTGTTGCCTGTTTTGAATGCTGTTTGATTGTCTTATGATTGTGATACGAACACTTTTGATATATACGCACGCACAGAAACACATCTCCGTGTTCATTGGCGTTTTAGGCATGCGCATAAACGGAATTTTCTCCCACAATTGAAATGTTCAAGATTAGGGAATAAAAGCTGGCAAAGTGATTGTTCGAATGTGTACGGGACGGTGTCGTCAGATACTGTCCATAGTTTTGCGATGATTTTCGATGAGGTACGCTTTTGTCTTCTAAATTTCCCTCATCAAGCATGCAGGGGAAAATTAGAACTAATTTTACCACGGGCAAAATTAGTTCTAATTTTGCCAGTAGTAAAATTAGTTCTAATTTTACTCCATGTTTTAGTAATGAGGTAAATTAGTGATTAATCGTACCTCGCGAGACAAAGGATTTCGAGGCAACTATGATATTATTGAACTAAACTGTCACAAGGCCGTATTTGCGTGACACAGTCATCCCCTTCGCTCAAACTAACTCTTGTTATTATTGTCATTATTATTATTATTTAAAAGGTTGGGGTCTACCTGAAATTGACAAATTCCGGCTGGTCTACATTGCAAGCTTGTAGCTGGCTAGGAATTTTAGCTAAATGCATAAAACTATATATCATTGGAAAGCTTATTTAACAAGGATGTTAAATATACTATTTTCGTTTTGATGCCTCCAACTACTACTTCCAGAATTTATTTTTAGTCTCAACCTTCATTTCAAAAATATAACGTCTACTTGAGAAAAAATATCTCCCAATGATATGAATCAAATTTTACTGTCCCTAGCCTCCTGCGCAGACGTTGTTAGTGGCCCGAGGCCTCACCTAACGTCTGCTCACATTCGCTATGCATTTGACTTCCCGGCAATTGACCAATCACAATTATCTACACGATAATTGGAAGATCGACCTTCAATGACCTTCACATGCATGGGCTATTATCAACAAGTCTGTAGTATTTTTAAATTTGAAAGTTTTAACACTGCGCATCAGAAAAAGGCTTTTCAGTCTATTATAAACGAAAAGAAGGATGTTTTCGTATATCTCACAACTGACGCAGGAAATCACTTATTTATCACGCCGTTACCGAAGCTATTCGATGTAATATTCGGATTTAAATATTTAATTAAACAAATTGTAAACATCGTAAACATTTAGTAATCGTGGTTTCGCCATTGATAAATTCAATACGAGATCAAGTTAAAAAACTACACGATCTAGGAGGCAGTGCTGTGTCATTATCAAGTTGAATCGAGAGTGATAAAGAAGCGAAGGCATTGGAAGAAGGAAATATTCTGACTGTATTAATATATGGCACAGCAGAGTCGTTGTTGAAGATGGAGACGAATGCTTAATAACAACAAAGTGTACGTATAGCAAAATGGTTTGTGCTTTGGCTATTGATGGATGAAGCTCATGCGATTAAAGAATGGTATGTATTATAATAAATCCTAAAAATGTGGACACAGGAATCGATCGGGCTTGACCATTTTAATAGTCCTTAATATTTTATATTGTTTATTTAAATTGAATTTGTCTTTTTATACATTGCCTCGTATTGTATATTACATGTAGTACTAGCATGCAAGTTTATATGAGCCTTTCAATTATGAGGGGTTTACATCAGAGGGTTGGGGTATGTATATTAACTATAGAGTGGCTCATAAACTTGCTAGTGCTACGTGCAATAGATAATACGAGGCAACGTATAAAAAGAAAAATTCAAGACAATATAAAATAACGACTATTAAAATGGTCAAAGCCGATCGATTCCTGTGGCTTTGAGAGAATTACAAATGCGAACACATGTTTAGGATTTATTATAATACATGCTGAAATGAGCTTCATGCATCAATAGCCAAAGCACAAACCGTTCTGCCATACACTTTGTCTTCAACAATGACTCTGCTGTGCCATATAAAATACAGTCAGAATATGTCCCTTCTTCCAATGCCTTCGCTTCTTTATCGCTCTCGATTCAACTTGATAATGACACAGCACTGCCTCCTAGACCGTGTAGTTTTTTAACTTGGTCTCGTATTGAATTTATCAATGGTGAAACCACGATTACTAAATGTTTACGATGTTTACAATTTGTTTAAATATTTAAATCCGAATATTACATCGAATAGCTTCGGTAACGGCGTGATAAATAAGTGATTTCCTGCGTCAGCTGTGAGATATACGAAAACATCCTTCTTTTCGTTTATAATAGACTGAAAAGCCATTTTCTGATGCGCAGTGTTAAAATTTTAAAATTTTAAAATACTACAGACTTGTTGATAATAGCCCATGCATGTGAAGGTCATTGAAGGTCGATCTTCCAGTTATCGTGCAGATGATTGTGATTGGTTAATTGCCGGGAAGTCAAATGTGTGGCGAATGTGAGCAGACGTTAGGTGAGGCCTCGGCCACTAACAACGTCTGCGCAGGAGGCTAATGTGTTCTATGATCATGATTTTTTGTGTGTGTTTTGATGTTATGTATTCAGGTGAATATAATGTTATATACAGCGCGCACAAAGTTGTTTTTTTTATTCGCAAACGTAGAAAATCTGATTCAACTTACCTTGCGACTTTCGACTTGCCTGGTATCGCCGATTTACTGTTATCTTCTGGCAATTGCCTTGGTACAGAAGAACTCTGAAAGTCAAACATGATATACATGTACTTATATAAAGGACGGGAGACAAAAAGAGTATTAGTATGTACTATTTAGAAGTTTATGTAAATTAAAGTTTACAAACATGATTTTTTTATCACAAATAAAACCACCAACACGGTAGTGATTTCCTGTGTCTTTTCCTCATGAATTATTAAAATTTTGGTAAATATGTAGCATTAAATTTTTTTAGTTATCTGGCATCTACCAGATCACCCAACACAAGAATACTCGTTAATTAATAGTATAGTACACACTGTAACTCACCGAAGGATTAAGTACGGGACAACTCATTTTCCGAAGTTGAAAAGCGATAGATGACACTTGATAGATATCAGGACGAATATGCGGATCAGGTTCTAATATGTAACCTTAAAACAAAACATAAAAATATTATAGAACTAGGCTAACTAGCTCTATTATTTTTCTGGATAAAAAGTTGCTAAATTAAAAGCTAACCTTTTATTAACCCATTAAGATGCAATGCACTCAGGTGTGCCCTACTTTGTTGTTTTACTCTGTCTAACGCCCGAGCTGTGCAAACTCCAGTTATTTTAGCCCCGGGCGAGGAAATTTTAAGGAAATTTCATATTTAAAAGTGGAAGCAGGCGAAAGTATTTCAGTGTAATTTCATAATTTATTTTACTCCCTTTCGTTGAAACCATATATTATTAAATAAAATTAATATATCGGCCAGTTTGTGAGTGAAATCGAATCGGAGCAAGTAATTCAACTTTATAGCAACTTCAAATCATTCAACAACTTAATTTTTTCATTACCAAAAGTTCAATGAAATATGAAACAATTTTTCATAATTTTGTCTGCCCGGAGTTCTCCAACTCCGGCTCCGGCAAAATATGCCGGAGCTCCGGCGCACAGCTCTACCGAGAGTCTTACTCTCTGTAATCTCGAAAGCTTTGGAATAATACTACTTCTTCATCCAATAACTTACGTATAAGGCTATGCATCTCTTTGGAGTATCTCGAGTTTTCTGGGATTGTAAACTGTCCGTTTTGTATGGCAAGAACACTCTCACCAAATGGAACAGTAAAGAAACACAGCTTGTAGAGAAGACAGCCCAAAGCCTAAACATTTACAAGATTTATATACAGTAAGATAACAAGCTTTCGTTGGTATAGGGATGAAACTACTTGAAAATATAAGGAGAATTTCGACGTTTCGAGCGAAGGCCCTAATTATCCTTTCTCACGATGACGAATAACCGCCATTTTTGGGTGGCATCTAATTCTCGTTAACCAATGCAGACAATTAAAACAATGTGAAAAGCAATTTTTCAAAATAAACTAAACATTTACAAAGCAAATTTACCACCATTCGTCCAAAAATTTATAAAAAGTCGCTGTTATATGTGGACTTATCTCGCAGATTGCCACCCAAAAATGGCGGCGTGAGAGAGGCTAATTCGGCGTTATACGCCATTTTCACAATGTTTAGCCAGCAATTTCACAATTCAGATCAGTCAAAAACGTAACTATTATATATATAAAAGATTGTTCAACTTCAAAATTTTGTTCAAGAAAAATTGGGCATCAGATAAGTGTTGCGAGCATGTCATGTAGCCTATATCTGTAAAAGATATATTTGTCTGTTTTCAGTGTGGATTATAACGTTTTTGCTTAGGTCTGACAAATGTCCGATCAACAAGACTGTTGCTCGGACATTGAAAAAGAATGGTCGGCCAACTACTTCAACCATTTTTACGAAAAAAACCCCCATCTTTTTGTAAGTAGTGAGTATTGGAAACGCTATAGACTTACTATCGAGATTCTGTAACTTGAGAGAGTATTTGCTAAAAGAGAAGCTCAATGACAAAGTTTCCTCTGAATGCTTTTTTCATCCAAATATTTATTGTTTGCATGGTACACTAATAGGTATAGTATGCTTTTCAAACCGTACTTTTTACATAAGCTACTTTCAATTAAAATGAACATTGTCTATTTTATTTGATCCGTCAAAATGTCCGTGCAGAATGAAATTGATCGGTCATTCGGTATTTTTGTTTGGCAAATAGCCGACTGCCGACCATTATAATCCCCACTGTCTGTTTTTAGTACGCAAAACAATGTCAGGTGACTTGCAAGTTTCAATTTAATTCAGCTGGCGCTAGGCAACGTGAACGTCACTTAAGAAACACGATAGTCTGAATGTCGCAACTGAAATTCTCAATTTCATTAAAATGCCAAATTTTTTAACCTGTGGTTAACACTCTGTACACCACAAATACAAACAGAGCTACTATAGTAGTAGTAGTAGGTCATTCATTCGAATCTTCAAACCAATTTAAGCACTTGTTAAACAAGGATGAGTTGATGAGAATTGGCAAGCGAGAGTTTGTATGAGAGTTTTCTGGTCTTAATTCCTAATCTCCTTACCCATATATCCGACTTTGTGTAAATAATCTTCCCACTGTAAAGGTCGACCATCTCTGGTGCTCGATACGACAGAGTTGTATACCTAAACGAAAGTAAAATTTCTTTAGAAACAAATGAACAAGCACACAAATCACATTTATCTGAAACAAATTGCTTGGAACAGATTTATTAAGTGGGCATTTTGGCCTCACCTAAATGCTGTTGAATTATTCCTAAGTCATGATCTTGTTAGACAAAAAGTGAACTACTAGTGCAAACAATGCGTATCTACTGTAGACTTTCTTTTGAAAATAAGATATATTTTACAAAATACCTCTGAATTTCTTCCTCCACTTCAGACAATTTGCTTTCCTGAAATGATCAAACGTCAAGTATAGTGAACAAGTAGAAACAGCTATTTTATTGAAATGTTTCATCACTTCTTAAGGAATTGAATATTTTGTCTAATGATTCAGCATTACCTTCGGGTCGACAGGTGTTGTTGAAGCGCTACCGTAATCACAAAGGACAAAATCTCCTTTTGAATTTCTTAAGATATTCTCAACCTAGTGGAAACGAAAGAATAATAAGTCAGCGCTCTCTTTTTGACAAGTAAAATTATCTGGCATCATGCCTGTACATTTTTTGCAAGTAGCCAAAAAATATTTTCAGTTAGCAAATTACGACAGGGGACCGGGCAACGAAGAAACTTTTTGAGTTATGTTTCATATTGTCAAAATTGAGTGTCCACTAATTTGCTCAAACCCAATTAGTCGAAAATTTTCATATATCAAGTCGAAAACGGAGTTCTCCTTCTGAGTTTTGGCATTTGAAAACTGAGTTTTAGCATTTGAAAACGGAGTTTTGGCATTTGAAAACTGAGTTTTAGCATTTGAAAACTGAGTTTTGGCATTTGAAAACTAAGTTTTGGCATTTGAAAACTGAGTTTTAGCATTTGAAAACAGAGTTCTGGCATTTGAAAACTGAGTTTTGGCATTTGAAAACTGAGTTTTAGCATTTGAAAACGGAGTTCTGGTATTTGAAAATGGAGTTTTGGCATTTCAAAACTGTGTTTTGGCATTTGAAAACGGAGTTTTAGCATTTGAAAACGGAGTTCTGGTATTTGAAAACAGAGTTCTGGCATTTGAAAACTGAGTTTTAGCATTTGAAAACGGAGTTGTGGCATTTGAAAATGGAGTTTTGGTATTTGAAAACGGAGTTCTGGCTTTTGAAAATGGATTTCAGAGAAATTTGAGGCCTGGGTGTCATGCATCTAATTAAACAGAACATTACCTTAAGATCGCGATGCACGACTGGCGGCTGAGAATAATGCAATGTAGCAACTGCTTCGCAAACATCCGTGAATATCCTCAAGACCATCTCTTCACTCAACCCACTGTTCAAGTTTTCGTTCATAAGTTGAATTACATGACCATCTAATGAACGGTAAATACAAGAATCACAGGCAGATCTACCGGAGGAGGGAGGCGAGTGGTGTATGGGGGTGTGCCACTGCATATATATATGGTGATCACCCAGTGACCTCCATATATACTTGGAGTGAGAACTCAAGGTCAAGGTAGAGTTGGGCGTCAGTTCCAATCTTGTATCTACTGTCTTTGTCTGCGCAGTTAATACAAAGCTGTGTACAAGGAATGTACTGAAATTTCACATTTTCGATATTTTTTTATCTTGATTTTTTATCATAATTTCAATATTTTTAAATTAATATTGAAATTTTTTTTTATGAACTGTCAACTTGTTTATCAATACAATCCTTTAGAACGGAACTGGAATTAGCCTTGAGAACAGAGACAGATTTTCATATTTTCGTTCGGGGGTGGGGGTGGATAAATATCTGGGGGGTGCTGCTGCTTGCTTTGGCCGGGGCCTGGAGGCAACGCCCAGAAAGGCCAAGGAAAAAGTTTAACAAAATTTGTTTTCTAGGCCTGCATGGCGAGATCTGAGACCATAATATTGGTAATTTTACAAGTTTAGTAGTAAGAATAATCAAATATGAAACTATCAAATCAAAATATATATAATTTGCGGGGGTGCAAAAACTGTTGGGGGTGGTGCCAAATGCCTCTGGGGGGGGGGGG